AAGAATGCTTTACCAGCTATCTGGGTATCTTTTAATCCAGTCAAGTTGATGCCTAAAATTAACCATCACACTGGGGTTGCTAGAGCAAGAAAGAACGCTCTGCAGGAGGAGGTGAGAAAAAATCCAGGATATACCCTGCATACATCACAGTGCTATATCTGTCTAGTCTTGCCTACTGAAAGCAATGCAATTATGGTTTTCTAACTCAGGCTTGATTTTTCCTTATTGAGAGCCACCCCAAGGATTTCTATTGTGGAATAGTGGCAACAATGCAATAAGACATCCTTTCTTATCCAATTCCTTTGGAGAGAGAGAGATTGATAGAAAACAATGCAAGTATCTTCCTGGCACAGATGGATAAGGCATTTTGCTTGGGGCAGCCGAGACTTAGCACACTGAAGACAGTTCCAAGAACCACATCAGAAATGTTTAGGGAATGAAAGACTTGGCCGGGAAATAGCAACAGGAGCTAAATATGGACTGGCTGACTAATCATGTCTGAAAGGGGAACGAAGCAATGTGGTGATGATCTTATGGGCAAAATGCTGTGGGGAATTTGCCTGGGCTGTAAGGGGCAGCATGAAGCAAATGTAAGGTGAAGGACCATCCAGGAAGAACACCTCACACCAATGGATTTCCAGGGGACTGACTCCCTCTTTCTTCTTCCCTTTCCCTAGATGTTATACTTTCCTCATTTTTGTTGTGTATGCACTTCTAGTGTAAGGAATCCAAGAAGATAACTTGAAAATTGCCTAAAGAAAGACCACATGGTGTGTGCTAACTTAAGCAGATGACGTGAATAGCAACACCTAGGCCTCCTTCAACTTTATGCACTTGATAGACGAACCCCATTTGGAGGTCTTTTTCATACAATTCTGGGGTTTGTAGGGAAAAGACATGCCTTTTTCCTCACTTTGCTTTTGCTTGCCAAGGTAAAAACAGTTAAAAAAAAAAAAAAAGTATGAGTCTTCAGCTTGATTTTCAAGTCCGTGAAACAGTTCAGTGGGTTAAAGAGGCTTTAGTGGCTCTTTTACCCAGATAAGAAATTATTATCATGACCATACTTTTACGTTAATTGTTTTTCTTATTTTTTAAAGGATTTGAGTTGACAAGGGATAATGTCTTTAAAAAAGAAAACACAAATTTTATTTGTGATTGTTTTAGTTTAAGCTATTATAACAAAGTACCATAGACTATGTCAACTTTCAATAATGAGATTCAGAAAATATGATTTAAGTATGGAGTTTATTTGACCCCAAAGCTTGAGGATGGCCACCCGGAAACATAGATTCAAGTTGCTGTTAATATACACTCTGATTAGCAGCAGTTACAAGTGGATTTTCAAGGAAAAATAAGAGGCAGTCCCTCCATTATTTAATAAAAATTTACACAGAAATAACCTAAGCTGTTGATTGGCTTTGCATTGTACTTTATATCACAGATTCCAGGAACATGAAGATAATGGGCGAGGCAGCCAGTTGGGGGCAAAAAAGGCGTTAAACAGTCAGCCCTGGGCATGGATGTGCCCCCTCCTACTGAAGTCCTATATTCATGTCTTTCTGGGCCTGGTAAGTTTTGCATACTTCACAGGACCCAGACTGCCTTATTATTATTACTTTTTTCTTAACTGGATGGCTTACAAACAACAGAATTTCATTTCTTACAGTTCTGCAGCCTAAAAGTCCAAGATCAGGCTGTTAGCATGGTCAGGTTCTGGTGAAGGCTGTCTTTGAGGTTGCAGACTACCACTTTCTTGTTGTACCCTCACACAGCTGAAAGAAAGCAAGCTAGCTCTCTGGCTTCTTCTTATAAAGGCACTAATTTCATTTATGAGGACTCCACCCTCATGACATAATCACCTCCTAAAGGCCCCACCTCCAAATATGATCATCCTGGAGATTAGGTTTTAACGTATCAGGCAGTTTGGGATGGCTCATATCTGTAATCCTAGCACTTTGGGAAGCCAAGTCAGGAGCATCACTTGAGCCCAGGAGTGCAAGGCTGCAGTGAGCAATGATCATGCCACTGCACTCCAGCCTAGCCAGCAGAGTGAGACCCTGTCTCTAAAAATATATTTTTTTAAGATTTTAGGCTGGGCACAGTGGCTCACGCCTGTAATCCCAGCACTGTGGCGGAGCAAGGCAGGCAGATCACAAGGTCAGGAGTTTGAGACAGCCTGACCAACATGGTGAAACCCCATCTCTACTAAAAATACAAAAATTAGCCAGGCATAGTGGTGTGTGCCTGAAATCCCAGCTACTCAGGAGGCTGAGACAGAAGAATCACTTGAACCTAGGAGGTGGAGGTTGTAGTGAGCCGAGATCGTGCCATCACACTCCAGTCTGGGTGACAGAGCAAGACTCCATCTCAAAAAAAAAAAAAAAAAAAAAAGATTTTAATGTATGAAATTTGAGGGGACATAAGCATTCAGCCCACAAGAGTGATCCCACACACAGATTCTCTGAGACATTTTGGGGACCACTCAGAATACTGTGACCTTAACAGGTCCATTGCCTGAGCTGTGGCAAGTCAGTACACTGACACCAAGGGTTCTAGCAGAGAGAGTTTAAACATCACAGGGCAGCAAAATGAGGAGATAGTGGGAAACCCCAAATCCTCCACCCCAGAGAGTTTGGGGCTAGGGATTTTAAGGGGTTTGTAATGGGTTGAGGTGTGGGGATTGTTGATTGATTAAGGAATGTAGGATGTAGTCATTGAACAGGGAAGTGATGAAATTGTATTTTATACTGATTTGGTTTTTCTGTGGAGGTCTTTAAACTGGTTGGTGTCAGCTGCTTCACTAGAATTCTGAGTCTGATAAACATCTTAGGCATTTTTAAACAAGTCTTTCATTCTAACATCAGTGATCTTGTCTTTAAGAATGATAGAGTAGGTAGTTAGGCAAACAAGAGCAGGGCAAGAGCAGAGCAATTCGCCAGAAATGTCAAGCGACCATCAAGTGATTGTCAGGCAGTTGTTAAATTGTTTCTCTAAAATAATAATTGGTTGTAGCTGGTGCCAAGGAACAACAGTCTCCCAATAGAAAGAAAACACCTGAAGCTGGTGACCAGCAGCTTCCCAATAAGATCTCAGGAGTTGGGTGAATGGGCTCAAGCATGTCCACTAAGAGGCAAAATGGCAGAGTTTAACCAGTAGAGGACCTTCCCCTAGGAAGACTCAACTGATAACGGAAAAACGCCTCAAGTGGGCATGTGCACCACTTCAGTAAACACACTGCATGTGGCCCCTCCCAAGTGCTGGCAGGCCACTGTACATGTGCACAGCCCACCCCGAGGAAAAATTAGGGAAGAAAAAATGCAAACCCCAGAACCATGCCCAGGTCAAGGGTCAGATGGCACCCTTGGATTTCTCAAGTGGCCTACTTGGCCCTCTTACAAGCACACTTTACTTCCTTTTGTTCTGGCTCTAATATTTTTTTAATAAACTTTCACTCCTGCTCAAAAACTTGCCTTGGTCTCTGACTCTGCATTATGCCCCTCAGCTGAATTCTCTCCCCTCCAGAAGTCAAGAATCAAGTTGCTGCACACCCAGATGGATTCTCCACTGCTAACGGGAACAATGGGGATGTAAATCAGTTATTAAACTAAAGGATGATTTTAACATCAGAAATCCCATCTATACAAACAATGGGGATGTAAATTGTCAGTATCTAGTGCTACATGATTTTCAGTTATAAGGAAGTAGGCCAGAGTGCAGTCTGATTGATGTTTAATGATAATTATATATTTTTTTCCAGAAGCTGCGATGTAATTCTCATTAACCCTGTGAGCACAGTTCCAATACTGCCCTGGCCAGTGGGCAAAGGGGATTCCCAGATCTGTTGCAAATATCCAGAAATTAACTTTTGCTTTAAACAGTTTTTTTGTCTGTTTAAGTTTCATGCAACTGGTTCTGAGTAACAATGCTCTCTTCATTTATTTGGCTTTTACAAAGCAAGGTTATGACAATTAGGCTTGTGACTTAGGCCTTACTGGATGGGGGACAACTGTCTTAGATTTTTAGCTCTGGGGCAAAAGAAAGTTTAGGACCCAAGGGAAAACTTTTGGCCTCCGAAGTTTGGCTGAGAATCTAGTGACAAAAGGCAGATTAATAGGATAAAAGGTATACAAATTTATTAACATGCACAGGAATCTTACAAAATATAAGATCTCAAAGAAATAACCAGATGGTTGATGCTTTATACCACCTTGAAGTTACAAAAAGAATGGGGGCTTGGAGTAGGGCCAAAAACATGTTATGGTTGGTAAATCAGTTGATAGTGGCAAGACAGCTCATCAGAGGGAGAAGAGGAGGCCTGGCTAGCAAAGATGGCCCTGTTATATAGGTGAAACCACACAGGTAACAACCCTCTAAGAGAATAGATGGTAAATGTTTCTTTCAGACCTTTAAAGGTGTCAGACTTTTATTTAATCTTGCCTAGATCTGGACAAGGAAGGGTCTCTGAAGAAGCCTGGCTGAATCAATGTCTATTCACTCTACAGATGCAAATCTCCCCCGAAAAGACAGCTTTTCAGTTATTCCTGTATTTCCAGCCCTTCTGAATAGCCATCTTAAAATATATCAAAAAAGTATATTTTGGGGTGAAATAGTTTGGTTTCCTTCAAAAGAATGGGAAGTGAGATCCAAGATGAAGTAGAGAAAAATATAGAGCTAGGAGCAGAACGGAGCCATAAACCTTCCTGGCAGTGGCCCTGAAGCTGGAGGACTGCTGGGCTTTCAAAAGGGAAGTGGAAACTTGTGTTGGTTATTTATGGGGAGCACCCCCGGAGCCTGGTCCTGAAGAAACAGCCTCATCCCATTACTCCCTGGAAGTGGTTGTAAACATTTACGGATCCTGAGCACTTCAAGCGCGCGCGGGCAGGATTTTCAGAAGCAGATTGTTCACTTGCCAGCACACCGCAGGCCACTCGTAAACACTGTCTCCTTGGAAAACGTGCTGACTTCTATTTCATATCCCTTTTACCTCCCTTTGACTTTAGGAACTAGAGTTTCAACGATTGCCAACTCCTCCTTCCATGGGTGATACATATCAAGAGGTTAGAGGGCCGCCCTGGTATGATAGGCTTTTCCACAAGCAGCTCCCTTTTGAAGAAAAGGGTCTCCATCTTGTGTGCAGGGAAGTATTCCTGGCCCTGTGAAAGTGAACTCATTCATCACAAGGTAACCAAACTCCTGTGGAGTAGAAAATATGAAGCTGAATGACACGCATCCAGCCACAGATGTACTAATTCAATTTCATGCCCCTACATCAGCTGCTCCTCTCCACTTAAAAGGAACATTTGCATCCATCTGTCATCATCTCTCCCTTTCATTTTAAAATCTCTTTGCTCTCTTTTATTTCCCTTCATTCCTCCCCCCTCCACCAGAACTTGATGAAATAATGGGGCACATTTAAAATCCAAACTCAGGCAATTCAAATTCTGAACCGATGTGATTTTGTTCCATTCTAAGTCAACCTCGAAGGGTGTCTGGGGAGCACAAATCAAGGGGCCAAACAAAAAAGCAAGTGAGAGAGAGAAGATTTCGAATGCAAATCAACCTCCTCAACCCATTTGAAACAACCTGCTGTGAACTGGGCTAGAACGTATGGCCCATTAGCACCTTGTTAGGCTGTCAGAGCCTGAGCAGCTGAACAGGGAGATAATGGGGAGGAAATGGCTGAGACCTTTCTGAGCCCAGCCCCAGTTCTTTGGCATTCTACCCTCCTCACTCCTGGGACCTGAGGGGCAGGGTCAGTAAAACAGTTGCTCAAGAGAAAAAGAAGGTAAAAGAGAACAACTTAATTAAATTTGCTAATTTTTTTAAAAGCATCTTTTTAGTACAAAGGAAGACAGAGGTTAATTTAAGTTTTCCAGGGTGGGGAGCAATTGATTTTTTTTTTTTTTTTTTTTTTTTACATTTTGGTGGGGATCCCTATGTGTTTGCTATCTCTTGCTTTATTCTATATTAATTTGAGATTTAGTAAAAACATTATAGGATGTTGAAGACTGCATGGTAAAATCTCAGTGATTAAGTCTTAATTCTCATAAGGCAAATCCTCAAATTAAAAAAAAAAATCTATGGTTAACACGCATATCTACAGACATCCATTTGCAAATGTGTTTAAGAATGCAATACTTACTTGCTTAGGATTAGGAGAGGAAAAACTTACTAGAACATGCTGAATCCCTTTCTTTCTCCAATGCTTTGGTCAACAGCCCAGTCAGTGACATTGTCTGTAACACCATAATATGTAGACTGCAGAGAGCTCACAGCTTTTGCTGACGGCAATGTTTACTTCTTGATATTAAAGACATTAGATATTCCACTATTAGGCAATTGAAGTATTTTACTTCTTTCTATCTATCATAAAAATGCACAATTTAAAGGCCAGGCGCCATGGCTCACGCCTGTAATCCCAGCACTTCAGGAGGCCAAGGCAGGTGGATCACAAGGTCAGGAGTTCGAGACCAGCCTGGCCAACATGGTGAAATCCAATCTCTACTAAAAATACAAAAATATTAGCATGGATTACAGGCATGATGGCTCATGCCTGCAACCCCAGCTACTCGAGAGACTCAGGACAATTGCTTGAACCTGGGAGGCAAAGGTTGCAGTGAGCTGAGATCATGCCACTGCATTCCAGCCTGGGCGACAGAGCGAGACTCCGTCTCAAAAAAAGAAAAAAAAAAAAAAAGAAGCACAATTTAGTATTAAATAAACCAGAAAAGACATGCTGACTTTAATGACCCATTAGAGATGGTCATGGATGGAAAAAAAAATATGTTACCAAGTTTTTGAGAAGAGGTTCAACCGTGCTGGTAGTGCCTTTAAGGCCAGGCTTAATGAGCTTGGACCAACTTAGGGTCAATGACCTTACAAACTTAGGATTTGTGCACAGAAGAAAAACAATAACAACAACAATAACCACAGGAATTAGTGTGGACATTGGGAAAAGGCAGTTACTAGAGAACCCACGGTTTCCCAAATGACTGCCATTTTCAAGTGAAAGTTCTTTGAAAATATATTTAATTGATTGTGTTGTCATTATCAGAGAAATTTTAAGTGATTTTGTGTGGAGTAAGAGGATAGATTTCATGACCTCTTAAGGTCACCAGAATGTTTCTGTGCTGTCTTGTATGTTTAAGTACCAATAAGAGATAGATAATCCAAGGATGTTTATTTTGGTTTTCATTTCAGTCTGGAAGCGGAGATGAGAGTTTACAATACTAGGACAATTCTTTTGTCTGTCCAGGTTTTTTTCAAAAAGAGTAATAAATAAGCATATTACACTTAATTTTATAAAAGTGCAAAGTAAGTGCAAAATTTTGCAAGTTTTAAAATAGTGCAACATAAGTGCTGAATGCTAATAGTCTTGCTTTCATTCCTCAGGGAGATTTCTCCCACTTTTTTTCTATAGGCTGGATCCCTGAACGCTAACTGACATCCTGCTTTTCTTAAGGGATATGGAAATTTCCCTGGGACAGCTGTGCTCTGCTGGCTAAGGAGCCCACAAGGTTAATGAACACCCACAAAGACTGAGGAGGAGAGAGAGTATTCTTCACTGGATGATTAGCATGCCGGCATTCTTTCCTCTGTGGTAATGATGGTCAAGAAGGTGCCTGGTGATAGAGGGGAGAATGAAGGGTTGCTGCTTCTTCTGCCTCAAACGCTTATTAAAATTCATTTCCATTCAAATAGCCATCCTCTGATTTTCATCATCAAATAAGCACACGCTGTACATACTTAACAGGCAGGTGACCTGTGCCGAGTTCATGTCTTTTTGAAGCAAAAGCCTGTTCTCTTAATGAGTGTCCATGCTTATCTCTGTATGTAAATTTCTCCCCTCTCCTCTTACCCACTGTACTTCCCTGCTACCCCAGTTCTGGGATCTTTGATGGGCAGCCTAGATGCCTATTATAATGATAATTCATTTGGAACGAAATGGAATCTCCTCTTCCAGTCTAGCTCATTATAAAGGTGAAGCCCTCGAGAGGGCAGGCTGAGAATGAACAGGCTTACAGAGTTGTATTTTCCTCTAAGGGGCAAAGGCAGGATGGGAGTGGTTTCCTTGGTTCTCTGGGCTTTGGGTTTTTCTCCCTTTGGAACTGGCCTCCATTCCTATGCTTGGTGATTGTCTTCTGGCTCCTGGGGACCACCATCAGCTGGAAGGCATTTCAGCTCAGGCAGCTCTTCACCAAACAGCTGCTGGGAACAACTGGGGCTGCTCTACTGTTGTCAGTGAGAAACCAAGTGGCAAATATGAGTGTGTTGGGCTTCCTTAATGTGTTTTTGTGCTCTGATAATTCAGAACAACACAAAGATATTGTCCTCACTTGTGGTGTACCAGGTAGACACCAGTAAGGCTTATCTTAATTTTTTTAAACATAAGAGACATAAAAAATGTCTTTGAGGACTTTGAAAATCCCTAAAGACATGATCAAGAAGCATATCAATTATGTAATTGTACAAGTGGAGAGAGTTCTTTTTTTTTTTTTTTTTTTTGAGACGGAGTCTTGCTCTATCGCTAGGCTGGAGTGTAGTGGCATGATCTCGGCTCACTGCAACCTCTGCCTCCTGGGTTCGAGTGATTCCCCTGCCTCAGCTGCCCGGGTAGCTGGGACTACAGATGCGCACCACCATGCCAAGCTAATGTGTTTTTTTTTTTTTTTTTTTTTTTTTGTATTTTAGTAGAGATGGGGTTTCACCATGTTGGCCATCGATCTCCTGACCTCGTGATCCACCCGCCTCAGCCTCCCAAAGTGCTGGGATTACAGATGTGAGCCACTGTGCCTGGCCAAGAGTTCTATTAAACTCATGGCATGATTGCATTTTCTAGCATGATTTACATTTGTAAATTATCTCAGTGTACTTAAAGAGCAGTCAGGGCAGGTTAACAAATAGCTTTTTAAAATTTTCTTTTTGTTTTGCTCTTACTTGCCTTTAATAATAATAATTTTAGAAAACCCTTTCAGGTCTAAAATAACCTAATTCAGTCTCTTGGGGGTTGAAAAATCATTACTACATCTGCAAAGAGTCCTTATGGAGAGTGTGAGGGAAGAAATTAATTTTGCAAAACATATGCTTAAACAAAATACAAAATAAGTGAGACTTGGGGTAAAGCAAAGAAAACATTTCTTGCTTAGGGTCTGGTTCTTGTGATTTGTTTCTTATGTTGAAGCATATTGTGTCTCCTAATTTTAGAAATGATTATTCATAGGAAGTTCATTCTGATGAAGCAGTTTCCCTGTTTTTCAATAAAGAAATTAGACAACTTCAGAAAGTTTGTCTCGCCTCATCTGACTGTCTGGAGGGAAGAGCTGCCCCCAAGATTTTGCCACAGTTGCCATGAACTCATTTTTAACCCTCAGGAGCCCCCAGAATAATTTAGGCACCAAATGACCTGACAATATCTGATTCCTTATTGCTCTGGCTACATTTTTTTTTATGTAGGGTATGGCACTCATTGCCCACTGAACAATAAGAATAAAGTTGCGCAGATGTAGAATTATTAGAGTAGCTGTTTCAGTTTCATCAATATCAAGGTTGGCAAACATTCCCCTTTCTTATCTGTAACAAAAACCAGCCAAGGCAATGTGATGGATTCCAAGAGAGGCAATATGGATGAAACCATTTATTAGATTTATAAGAGCTGAAGGAAAGTGGTAAAGCTATCCATCTTCTATACTTTATTGAGAACAGGACCAATGACTCAGACTATCAGGACAGTATCTCCAAGACAGAATTGAAATCCTAAAGTAAGCGGAGAATAAGTGCATACATTTTAGGAGAAGAGGGATCAAAGGCAGAAGTAAGAAATGCACGTAAGCCTCCAAATACATTGAATACAAATCTATCTGCAACAGTTACGCAGCTACATAACTTTGTAAATAAAGACTTCATTTCAGAAGGCTTTAAAGATTTTTTTCCTTAGTCCTTTCCTCTATTGGAAATCATAGCTCTAAAAGCCAGTGACAGCAGGCAAAATTATTATTTGGGTCATGTGAGATGCATATGTATATGTGAAATAAAACTAAGGGTGACGTAAAGAACAAATAATACCGTTTAATTCAGAAATGGCACAAAGCAGCTCCCCTCTTTTGTCATGAAGAAATTATCAGCATCAGTCAAATTGGCTGAATAAAATCTTTTCTGTGTTTAAAAATATTCTGAGCACATGCAAGTTTTGAAATTAGGTAAATCTAAAAACATTTACTTTAGAACTTTCGAACTTCAATAATTCAGGATTCTAACATGTTCCTCTCAGGGTTTCATGGGTTTTATTTTTTTTTAGTACCAATTTAAAAATCCCTTTTTTGACCTGCATTTCATCAAACAGAGCTGATTTCAGATCCCACTTTGCTATATTACAAGCTATGTGAAGTTTTATTTATCTTCTATTTAGCTCAATTTTTTCCATTATAATAGCCCATAGTACAAAAATAAAATGATAATGAAGTTAAAGGAATCAGATCAGTGCTTAATAATGTTGGCTATTATTATTATTATTTAGAAAAGGGGGTGATGGAGGACAGAGGCTGCAGTGAGCTGAGATTGTGCCACTGCGCTCCAGCCTGAGTGATATAGCAAGATGTCTTCTCAAAAAAAAAAAAAAAAAAAAAAAAGTGGGTGACAGAGCCCTGGCCCATTCTGGGAGAGAGTTATCATAAAGCAAGAAGAGGGCTGTGGGCAAGGAATTCTCTGGGATATCTGGTCAGTGCAGAGAATTGAAGCTAAAATTTTAATTCCATTAAAAATACATTCACTGAGCACCTACGAGGTTCAAATTGCACACTTACTACTCTCCTGTAGACTGTATTCAAGTAATGGAAACAAAATACCTACATAACTTTCTTTGCTCCAACTCAGAATAATGTAAGTGCCACAAGGAAGCCACACACACAGCACTATGGGAATTTAAAGGAGAGACATGCCATTGCTGGAATTCAGAAAATGATACCCTAACATGAAGACCCCGGAAGGAAACTCTCTCTCTGACCTTCCCTTGACCTCTTATCTCTCACTTATTATTCTCCCCTGAGGCTAGCCACAGAAACTAGAATTCCTCTGCCTCAAGGTGGTTCACAGAACCAAGACCCCTTTTCCCTAAAGGAAGCCATAAAGTTTAAAAATATTACCCTAACTTTCCCCCACCTTTCTATGAAACAGCTAGCTGTAAAAAAATTACCCTCATTCCAGAGGAATCCTACTCCATCCCTAGGGGGAAGAAATGCTACAATAGAGAGGTCAAGAGGAATCTAAACAGACAGGCCTTGCTGAGGTTTCCCTGCTCAGTCTGTTACTACTAGAGCTTACCCTTTTTATCTCATCACATTTCTACATGGTTGTTCCAGCTTCGTCAAACCTAAGCATATAATCAGATAGTTTCCATTGTATCTTTGAGTCTTCATTCTGAAGACTCCCATGTCATATAAAACTGTTATTGAACACATCTGTTATGCTTTTCTCTTGTTAACCTCTCTTTGTTACAGGGGTGTCAGCTGTGACCCTCGAAGGAAAGGAATCACCCTCTTTCTGACCTTATACCACCTTCAGCAGGGATGAAGGCAGTGAGAGAAAAGTTAGTTAAAAAGTAAGTGAAGACGCTTTATTTAAGGATTAATATAACTTTAAAAGGCAGAAGTCAGAAGTGTTCATTTATTTAACAAATATGTATTGAGTATTTGCCAGATACTCATTTATATAGCAGAGATTCAGCAGTGAGCAAAGCAGATGAATTGCTTTACTTGCTGGAACCAGGAACATTTGAATAAATGTTTTTTGATTTTTAGAAAAAAAATCTAAACTTTATGATAAAAAGTAAGAGTGATCTATTAATAAATATCTTAAAGTCACAATGCCTCACTTACCTCTATCCAACAAGCATAAAATTGTAATCCATTCCTCAAAATTGGAAAATTAGAGACAAAATTTTATAGATAGACATAAAGTGATAAAATCTTAAAGCAAAAAGTATACTCTTCATTCTGTTTCCTTGACTCATCTTCATTAAGTTTTTCTATTTGACATAAATATAATAATTTTCTCTATATATTTATATCTTTCTTTCCATCTCTTGATATAAATTTCCTCAAGAACAGTATATCCAAGCTAATTTCTTTCATAACTAAGAGTCTACATTTTATCTTCTAACATGTCCACTTGGCACATTTCAGATTCTGTCCCTTTATTTCTACTTTGAGTTTACAAGATAGCACTCCTGAACATTCTCTTCACAGTTCTCAAAACAGTTTATGTAAAGGAAATGAATTGAGTTATAAAATAGGGCCCAATGATGCTGGTGGGTGCTCTATCAATCTCCCTGAAGGAACAAGGAAGAAACCAAATGTTGATGGATCCTGTCACTCTGCCCCTAAAACGCAAAATTATTGAATTAAGGAAAACATAATTATTACCGAATATGGTGACACAGTGATTTTTAAAGGTACTGTATTTTGTTTATTAGACACGCACATTTGTCCTTTGTCAGCCTGAAGGCATCAAGTGTCCTAGGCGATATCCATCTTCATTGAGTTTTGAAATCCCAGGGGTATGAACAAACCAGATGGCCCCCCCAAATGAAGATGAATGCATATAACTGTCATTCAAAACTCAATAGTCCATGTTGCCATATGCGATGAGGTGTTTACTGGGAGTAGTGTGTTTCTGTCCGTGGTCCTGAAAAGCTTGCCTTGACTTCAGATGCGGGAAAGCCATTAATGAAGACAGTAGTAAATATCAGAAAAGCATATTTAAAAGTAGACTTCTGACTTATCACTGTTTCTCAGAGACACATGTGCTTCAATTATAGCTATTTTTTCACAGTGCTGATTTATTAATAGTCTTTTTAAAAACAATCAGTCTCTCTCTCTCTCTCGACCTTGGGTCATAGGAAGAAAACGTCAGGGTTTGCAGGAAAGAAAGGAGCATGTATTTATTAAAGGCAGATGGTTGAACTGAAACTAGAGTTTGTTGCTTCCCTTTATAAAATTATATTTCAAAAGTTTTACAACTCAACCATAAAAATATTATATTGTTGGATAAAACTTAGGAAAGAAATGACTCTTTGCAGGCTAACTAATTAAGGGAAAGTTCTGTAACCTACAAGTCATACTCATGGAAAATAAAGCAGTACTGAACTGTAAGTGCCTAAGAATCTACCACCCATTGTGTGAATTATAATTTGAAAATTGATAACTAAGTAGTGTATTTAAGACTTCTACCCCCAGAGTTGTACAACACTAACCAATTAGGTTTTGTATTCAGGGAAAAACATTGATAGTACTGCCAAGAAATGGCTGAGATGTTGAAGTTCATGAGCCAGCTGTTATGCATCTGTTCTACTTTTTACCAATATCATTTTGAGGAAGAGGTTTACTGAGTTGGCAACAAAATCTAATGCCTGATGCTTTTGAAATCATTAAATAAGATGACATTACTTAATCTTACATCAGGGCCACCTGAGCCCTTTTAGAATAGGTACAGGAATTTCTCTAAATAATGACATTTAAAAGTAGGAAGTAGGGCATGTCCAGATTCAAGACATCTAATCTTTTACCATAAAGTGATTCATATATCTCTAGCTCAACAGAAAAATAGGGAAAAAAGAACTCTGAACTCTTTTTCCTGGAGTAGTAAAAAAAAAAAAAAGCCTAGAATTCTAATGTGAAACATGTTTGAAACTTGCATTTCAGGTACCAATAACCATTAATATATTTGCCCTAAAAATTACTGGTATTGAACTGTGTGGTAAATTCTTTCAGCTGTGACTATTCAGATAAAAGAAAGCAACATAGAAATGATGACTATATAAGAGTGCTTCAGTAATTCTTGTGAATGAGTTAATTTATTAAACGTTATACCTTGATCCACTGTACTGCAGCCTGGGTGACAGAGCGAGACCCTATCTAAAACAAAAAAAGAAGTTATACATTGAGCACTTTGAATAATGAATGGCACATAGCAAGCCCTTCTACTACAAGTGTGTTTTGTTGTTGCTGATGTTGTTTACTTTATTGTTGTCATTACAAGAGATGGGGTCAAAAGCTTATCTTCTAGGCAGGGAAACCAATTTATCAGTTAAATATAAGCACCAGTGGTGCTTGGATTATCCTTTTCCTTTGTCCTCATTCTCTTCATATCCATCCCATTACCTTCCCTCATATGTGGTTTCTTGTCCTGATAATCTTGGGTTAAATTACTATAGATGAAATAAAAGCTACTTGTGAAAGGGCACAAAGATCTGCTTGGATGATCTGATAGTGATGAAAATGTTTTTCATGCAAATAATAAAAATATATTAAAAGGATAGTCAGGCTTTTATTCTAGAATCCAAAGGATAAAATAACAGCCTCAGTTTCCTCATATAAAAATGGAAACCATAAGGGCTGGGTGCAGTGGTTCACGCCTGTAATCTCAGCACTTTGGGAGGCCTAGGAGGGTGGATCACGAGGTCAGGAGATCGAGACCATCCTGGCTAACATGGTGAAACTCCGTCTCTACTAAAAATACAAAAAATTAACCAGGTGTGGTAGCGAGCGCCTGTAGTCCCAGCTACTCAGGAGGCTGAGGCAGGAGAATGGTGTGAACCCAGAGGCGGAGCTTGCAGTGAGCCAAGATCGCGCCAGTGCACTCCAGCCTGGGCGACACAGTAAGACTCCGTCTCAAAAAAAAAAAAAAAAAAAAGAGAGAGAGAGACCATAAGACATCTCATAGAATATAAGGAGGATTAAATTAAATATTTTCAAAGTAATTAGGACAATGCTTGGCACTGGTGTCTAGGTGTTTAAAAAAAAATTACTTACTTTGAACTTTGGTTCTCATTTGAGTTCCTGTTTTTCTCAGTTGAACCAGAGTGGGCATGGAGATCTTAGAGAATCTTAAATTGTTCTGGAAGCAGAGAGTAAAGCACTGCTTCAGAAAATTCTCATATCTGAGGTGATAAAATTAACTCGGTGTTCAAGACCCAGAGAGCTCTCATGCCAGGTGACAGCAAAACTCCGTCTCAAAAAAAAAAAAAAAAAGAAATCATCTTATATTCTTCTGGACATTCTCCAGAATTTGCTTGTGGAGAGAAGAAGATGCAAATTCTGTTTATTTTAGTGTTTCAAAAATTCACTTGTATTGCTAAGCTGTTTGAATAGGCAACTGTTGAATCTTTGGCTACCCTTGTATATAGAGTAAGAAGATAATTGCTCTGATCCCAGGGTGAACCATCTGCTAGTACAAATTGCTCTGCTATCTGCTTCATTGAGACACTTGTGTTCGTTATATTATGTTGAAATGTTCATGAAACGTGGTTTATACTAAGCTGTGTTCCTGGAAAATTTGATTCTATAAATGGGCAGAACACTCTTAATTGCAAAGACTTTTCTCTCCTTAGATTTCTAAAATGCTTTGCTGATTTGATCTGGGGCCTTGGAGTGCCAGCATCCTGAGATAGTGGCTGATTGTTGATGCCTGGGAGGATAGAGCAGTGATGATCCAAATTTACAAGACTCATGATTTTCAAAACCTCCTTTTAAAAAAGATGTTCCTGAGTTCTGGAATCTGAATGAAATATGTCTGGTTATTATATAATTCTAATGATCCTTGTGGATGCTACTATTAGAGTTCAGTTAGTATCTCATCTATCAGTGTAATATTTGTATTGTAATACTAATCATGGCAAAGTATGATTTGATAAATGCTCATTCTCAAATCTTTTATTTTAGTGTGTTCATGTAAGATTAATGACCATGATGACTTGAGATAGAATTTTTTGATTTGTTGCTTTCTTTGTGTCTTCCAATATCACACAGATCTGCAAAGATGTCTATGGCACAAGGAGAGAAAATAATAATTTAACTAGAGGGTAGGAGTAAGGCCTTCTATTAACAAGACACTGTTGACATTTCTAGGTAGATTTCAGAATTCTCCAGGCATACCTGGTAGAAATTTTAGAAATAACAGCCAGGAAAGAAAGGCAGAAAGACTATGTTGGGACATTAGCAATTTCTTCCTGCCACAATAAATCTTTATTCACTGTAAGTAAATCTAATGCTAATTTATTTATCTGTCTATCCTTTGAATTACAATTTAAAATGTCATAATACAAAGATTCAGATAAGATGGCTGATTTGCTCAGATTGAACATCACATTGGTTTTTCACCACCTGAGGCCCATTGACATAGTATGCATATTAGAGAACTTGGAATCACCAAGGTGGGGTTCTCCCACTGTTGTCTTCATGATCCATGATGATTAGTACACAGTAAATATTTCTTTGAGTGCAATGACTTTACAAATGATGCATGCAGATTCTATATACAAGGCTGAGAGTAAATGGACCCGATTTCAAACAAAAGGTTATATATGTGACCAGTGAGAGTTTTCTATCATTCTCTAGTAGCTTAGACTAGGCAGAATGCAATTTAGGCCCTTGTGTCATAAGATGAGTTTTAAAATTCCTCCTTTATTTTCTCACTTGTTTTGAACAGCCAGGACCCAAAACAGAGCTATTTATTTGAAACCTCTCTCCTCTCTCTCTTCTTCATCTTTCATCAATTTGATTCCCTTTTTATTATCATTATTTATGTTTTGTATAACTAGAA